TTTCCCTCCTCCTCCTCCCCCTCCCCTCGCCCGCCCGCGACAAACGAAAATTTAATTTTTAATTTGTTTTTTTTTTTTTTTTTTGTATAAATAATACGTTAAATTTTTTATCAAATGAAAATAAATAAATAAGTAGTAAGTGAGAAAATTATCTGCGCTCTTATTATTATTATTATTATTATTATTACAAATTTATTTTATTTATAAATTTTTTTGTTGTTATCACTGATAAACGTTTTTTTTTTTTTTTTTTAACGAATGAGTAATTTTTCGGAATCCGAATTTTTAAAATTATTATTACTATTATTATGATTATTATTATTATTATTATTATTATTATTATTATTATTATTATTATTATTATTATTATTATTATTATTATTATTATTATTATTTACACTCGATAAGGTTGTTTTTTTGTTGTTGTTGTTAAAAACATGGCTCGTCGTCATCATTTAATTATTTAAACACATCGTGATTAAAAAAAATATTAAAAAAAAATCCGATTTATTTATTAATTTTTTTTTTTCGGTAGGGGGAGGGGGTTTATTTCTCATGATAATAATAATAATAATAATAATTTGAAAAAGGATTTGTTTTTTCATCATGGCGGCATTTTTACTCGTTAAATTTATGCGTTTTAAATATAATTAAAATAATTGCGTACGACGATATAACGAAATCACGTACTACGGGACTTTAATCGTTTTATTGGTTTTATTTAAGTGTAAGTGTGTGTGCGTGCGTGCGTGTGCGTGTAGCTTTTAAATCGTCGTGGAACTAGTTTTTAGTTTTTACGTAACATTGTATTGGTCATTTCTTTTCTTTTTTTTCCTCCTCTCCAAACTTTCAATGATTCTTGAAAAAAAGTTTTATTCAAAAGGTTTTTTTCCTTCTTCTTCTTATTATTATTATTATTATTTACTTTTTATGTTCGATTGAAAATGTTAATTAAATAATAAAATATAAAAAATAAATAAATAAAAGGAAACTTATAAGTCGTTAAATGAATGTCGACGTTAATTATATTAAGTAAATCTTCGATTGTTTTTTTTTTTTTTTATGTATTAATAAATGAAAAAAAAAAATAAATAAATAAATAAAATTTTTAAATGTTTAAATATTAACTTTTGGTCAAGGTAAAAACACTCAAGGTTTTTATATATATTTTTTTTCTGTGTCATATTTTATATTATGTATGCATAGAGTAAATAAATAATAAAAAAAATTGTTTTTATTTTTTTATTATTACTCTATGTTTTTGCTTATTGCTATTATTTATTTATTTATTTTTTTTCTTATTATTATTATTCTCGGGTTGCGAGAAAGTTTGACGAGAGTAAAAAATTTTATTCGGTGGTAAAAAAAAAACGGAAAACGAAAATGATGATGATGATGATAATCGTAAAGCGCGAGTAGAAATGAAAAATTCTTGGATGGTTTTTCGTTAGTGACGTAAAATGCGTGCAAGTAAAAAAAAAAAAAAAAACCGCGTGAATGAATTTTCATTGTGGAAAAAACAAAACAGGTATAGGAAAGGGAAATTCCGAATGAAAGTTGTTTTACAGTGTCGATGAACAACAACAACAACAACAACGACAACCACAACAACAACAATCAAAAACGTAAACGAAATTAAATGGGAAAAAAAAGAAAAAACCTTGAATTTTTTATAATTAAATTACTTATTTTAATTTAATTTACTTTATTTCGTACCTGAGTAATAAAAAAAAAAAAAAAAAGATGAATGAAAAAGAAAGAGGGAGAGAGAGAGTATTAATTTATTTGAGTGCTCACGTGTGTACGAGAGAGAGAGATAGATAGATAAAAAGAAAGAAATGAAATTTCATCTCGATCTTAAAGGCTTACCTTAACCCATTTGAAAATCTCCATCGCCTTGAAAAAAGATGAAATAAATATTAAAAAAAAAAAAAGGGTCAACATAAAACCACCGAAACCTGGACGACCTCAGGTTCCGTTTAATTTCTTTCTTTTTTCTTTTTTTTTTTTTTTGTGTTATTCGATGAATGTAAGAAGGATTTAAAAAAAAAGAAAAAAGTGGCACGAGAAATTTAATATCATTTAAAAAAAAAAAAAAGAATATAAATAAGTAGTAGACTTTATTTAAACCCGTGGGTATAACGCTTCGAAAATAACTTTTTAAAAACAACACAATAAAAATATATTAATAATAAGATATAAATACTACTTTCTCCCCCCTCCCCTCCCTCTTTCCCTCACGCCTTCCTCTCGAGTTATTTTCGTAAATTATTATTATTATTATTATTATTATTTTATGGTAATATTAGAGCGTCTTTTGAGTTCTCGTGTTATTTCCCCCCCCCCCCCCTCCTCCCGTTTGTACAATATTTTGTTTGTTAATTTTATGAAAGTTCAAACATGAGAATTTGTTCAGAGTTCAAACAAACATCCTCCTATCTATCTATGTTCAAAAATAACATTTATTATCATCATCATCATCATTATTATTATTATTTTTTTTTATGGTGACGTTTTTTCTTTTCTTCTCCTTGTTAAAATTAATTATTAATAAATTTATTATTATTATTATTATTATAAAATTGCCGATAGCTTTTTTTTTAAATTTTTATTAATATTTATTATTATTATTATTATTATCATTATTATTATCATTTTTTTATTGATTGATTATTAAAAAAGAAAATTTAATTTTTTTTAAATTTAATTAAAATTTTTTTTTTCTTTTTTTTTTCTTTTTACTTTGCATAAAATAAGAAAAGGAGGATAAAGAAAAAGGGAATGGGGAGGGGGGATGATGAATAGGAAAGGAAATGAAGAAGAGAAGGTAAAAGTGTAAAAGGTCATGACCTCTCAATCCTTTAAAAATAATGTCAACGTGATCAAATTACGTGTATATATATTATGTGCGAGAGAGAGAGAGATAGAGAGAGAAAGTCAATAAACGAAATCAATGAAAATTTTCACGATCGCGTTTGATTTAAATGGGGGGGGGAGAGGAGGCGGGGAAAAGTGAGGAGGTTAGGCATTAATTAAAATTTTCCAGAATATTCCATTCCAGGAGCGAGGAGTTGCGATAAAAGAAAAAAAAAATGTTTTTTTTTTTTTTTTTTTCGGGGTTTTTTCTTTTGCATTTCGCGCCGTCATTCAAATGGGTTACGACCTTGAAAAAAAAAATTTTTTTTTTTCGTTTTTTTTATTTTTTATTGAGACTTTATAAGTCTTTTTATTACGGTGTCAACGAAATAATTTGTAGTTCAAGGTCCCCCCAATAAAAAAGGAACAAACATGAATTCATTACTACAACCGCGACGATTATTATAATATTTTTCACGTTTGCTATTTTTTTTTTTTTTCTCGCCATTTTTCTTTTTTCTCTTTTTAACATGGTTGTTTACTTTGCGGAATTTGAACTTTTTTAAATTTTCTCGTTTCTTTAAATTTGTCGAAAATGCAAATCTTTTTTTAACAGATTGATTTTATTATTATTATTATTATTATTATTATTATTATTATTATTATTATTATTATTATTATTACTATTTTAGTTATTACACAACGACGTGTCCTTCGCATTTGTAAAACAATCGTTCCAGATTTCCATCCAAAATGGCAACAAAAATTTTTTTTCCTTTAAATGTTTTCCCGAGAATAAAGAATCATCCCACACGCACGCACACACGTCACTATTTATTTATTTTTTTATTATTATTATCATTAATTACAAGAAAACCGTTTATGAATGGAGGGAGGGAGGAAGGGGAGGGGGAAAAACACGACAATCGTCATGTTATTCTATTGACACGTCTTACTCGCATGTTATTATTATTAAATAAATACACGCCTCGGTTTTTTTTTTTTTCCTTTTTTTTCCATTTAATTAGTCATGGAATCCGCGTTAATTTTTTTGGAACATTAAAAGTCACAACCTGGAGAAGAAAATTTTTTTGGACAAAATAAACGTAAACAATTATTTTATCGATAGAGATGAACGACAAACAACGATGACGATAAAATGAAATTTCGTTACAAATCGTCGATTACATTGACAAAATTTTTTTTTTTTTGGCAAAATTAGCCGACGATAATAATAATAATAATAATACTTTGCAAGTTTGCCAACGAGAAAGTTTGTCACATATTAATATAAATATATATATTTATTTATTATAAAAAAAAAAAAAAAAACATTAACGAGTTACGAAAACAAAAATAAACATATTGTGTTTCAGTAACAAAAGAAAATTTTATTATTATTATTATTATCGTTAAAAATATGTCATTATTTAAATTGTTTTTTATTTTAAATCGTGACGAAGGATTTGACGTTTGTAGGGTAACAACAAACTCACGAAGAAAAATGACAAAAAAACAAACAAAATTATAGGAAATGACTTCATTACGAAAAAATTAAAAAAAATTTTTTTTTTTTTTTTGCCGTTATGAATTTATTTTAAAACTCGAAACGTTTGTTGTTTGTTGTTTTCGTTTTCGATCGTATCGTCTAAAATTTAAAAAAAAAAAAAAATCGTTTGTATATATTTTTTTGCGATCGTTCAATGTGATTTTTGGTAGTTTCGGTTTTGTTTGTTTGTTTGTTTGTCGTGAAATTAAAAAAGAAAAAGGGAAAAATTTAGATTTTTCGACGACGAAACGTGAAACGAATGAATTTTTTTTTTTTTTTTTTTTTTTTTTTCGGGAAATAAAAAACAATAACAAACGTGACTTATTTTCATTTATTTATTTATTTATTGCGTCAAAGGAAATAATTAAAAATTAATTAATCAAAGGAAATGTTTTTTTTTTTTTTTTCGTTTTTTTTTGTCAATGGTGAAAATGAGGTTGATTTTAATCTCTTAATTTTTTTTATTTTTTTCAGATTTTAATTATAAACTATTATTATTATTATAATTATTTTTTCCTTTTTCCCAAAAAAAAAAAAAAATGGAAGCAAAATGATTTTAATTAATCGATGAAAGGAAAAATTTAAACTCGTAGACATGAGCGTGGAAAAAATAAGTTTAAATTCGTTAAGAACGTTTTTGTTCTTCATTTTCGGAGGTTGGTACCAATGCTCATTTTGAATTTTCGTCCATTTTTTTTAAAATTTCGGATAATGAATTTTGAATTTCATTTTAGGTGCGGGTTGTTGGCTTCCGTTTGTTTCCTTACATTTAAAATCGACGGGTTTGACGACGGATGAAATCCGTTTAATCTCATACGTGTCACCCCTTTTCGCAACGTTGGGCCCCATATTTGTGGGCCCTCTGATCGATTACCTGTCGAAGAGAAAGAAAAACGATGGGGGGAAAAGATCGTCATCGAAAAGCGATAGGAACGCATACGTTCGAACCGTTTTGTCCATAACAATACTTTTATCCGCTGTTTTTTATTGTCTTTTATTATCGGTGTCGAACGTTGACAAATCAAACGTTCGAGAACAGGAAGCTTCGTTTGTTTGTAACGAAAACGGAGCCGTTCTCGTTCAAGAAAAATGTAATCAATTAAATTGTTTTCAATATAAGAGTGACTACCATGATGGAATGGCGACGCTTTCGAATTGTAAATTCGATTGCGATTTACCAATCAATTACGGATATTTGGATAAACCTCCCGAATCGGGCGACATAGAAGAAAATAAAAACGGTATCGTGACGACTACAAAAGTTCCTGCCACGACAACGCAAAGAATCACTTCCCGTCCTCGAAGCATTAGACCGGAAATAGATATTTCTAATTTGGATGATTTTTTCGGATCCGAACCTAACGACGATTACGACGATGATGGAAGCGGCGAAGATTCCGAATTTCATTGGGTAATAATAATTTTTTTTTTGGTGGGGGAGTGGGGGTGGGGAGAGAGGGGGGGAATTACATTATACCGGTTTCGAATTGTTTTAAAAATTAAAAATTTTTTTGTTTTGTTTTTCAGAATAAAAAATCTCGGCAGAAAAGAGACAGTTTTGGAAATTCGGGATTTTCACTCGAAGAATCTCCGCATATTTGCTACGATAGGTTAACCGGAAGTAAAAGCTCTCGTACCTGTTATGTGTTCACACCCGATAGCGCTGCTTTCAATGTTAGCGTTCGCGTTAAATCTTTTCACGAAGATAATCAATATTGTAATTATCCGTTAGGTGAGTAATTTTAAGTTGGCAACAATGAATATAATAAAAATGTATATAATTTTTTTTTTTTATAATCGTCGTCGGTGATTAAAGTCAATTACGAATGCGTAATTGTTTCGTAAATAATCCTAGTTTTTCCAAAGTGTGATAAAAAATAATAACAATAATTAATGTGTAATTATTTATTTAATTTTATTACAGGATCAAATTTCACTTGTAGAATTCCTCCGGGATTGGATAAACCGAAAGATATGTGCAAAGTCGTTTGTAATTTAGAAAAACTTTATTCATCCCAAGGGATTTTGCCGCAATCCCAATGCGATCAATCTCTTAACGATCCGACAATGACGTTTTGGACTTATTTAACGGTTGGACAACATTTCGAATTAAAAACGAAAAAAAAAAAAAATGGCGGTGTGACATATTTGTTTTTCTTATTCTTGTTTATTGTTTTCAGTTCAGAACGTTTGGTGATTTATTTTTTGCCGCTTCCGTTTCCGTATTGTTCGGAGCGACTATTATGGCAGCCGGTGAAGAAGCCGGAAGAGAATTTATTCTTCCGTCTTTGTCGTACGGTTTGTTCGCCACGATCATCGGTTATTTATATTCTGATGATATGAGTCCTATTTTTTCTGAAAATATACCAAATTTTTTCTTGGGAATTGTCGGATATGGTATATTTACGGTTTTCGCTCTTTTGGTTTTGATTTTTGCCACGTACGTTGTTTTTTCTTTTATTTTTCTGTCGTTCCCCCCCCCCCCCCCGATATTTCAAAACAAATTAATTTTGATTTTTATTGTTTTTGTTTCTAAGGAATATGTGTATCGAACCTCCAGACTGGTGGAAAAATAATAAAAATGCACAAATCCGTCGTCATAGATCTGAGTTTTATGCAATTTTATTAGTTTTGCTTCTGCTTGGAATGTTGTGGGGTCCAATTTATTTTCACGTGCCTTGGTAAATTATATTTAAAATGAAGTTTTCAACGGCGGGTGCAAATAATAAAAAAGTAAATAAGAAAAAAAAAATTTTATTTTCAGGCACTTGACTGCCGAAAGCGGTTTGGAATTGTACGTCGGATGTGCTGCTGCCACGGGAGCACTTTTGTCGGTACCTTTTGTTTGGAAAGCTTTTAAAATCGTAGACTACTGCGGATTTTCAAATATTCTCATCGGAGCATTTACGATTTACATTCTACGATACACGGGTGAGTTTACTTCCGTTTGAGAATTTCCGTTTTATTTTTTATTATTTTCTCAAGCTAAAAATTGTCGCTTTCGTTTTTCAGGATTGCTTTTCATCGATTATCCGTGGGTCCTTTGCGGAATCAACGGTTTTGAAGTCATTACATTATGTCTCATGCTTTTTTCTGCCGTTTTTTACATTCGACATCTCGTTCCGAAAAGTTTAACGTTCACCTCTCTAGCTTTTGCCGTCGCTTTTCATTTTTGTCTCGGTGAGTCTGAGAAACAAATTTTTTTTTTTCTCTCTCTCTTTTATTTTTTTTTCATTCCTAATCAAAAAAATTTTTTTTTTTTTTTTTAATAATTTTAATAACAGGCGGAGGTTTAGGGTGCTTAGTCAGCTCATTTCTATCACCGACAGACTACGAACTCGAAACGAATTATCAAAACGTGACAAAATCCGATTTTTCATTTACCGACGGCGACGAATTCAAAGGTCCTTATCATTTAGTTTATTGCGTGGGAGCAATCACGGCTGCCG